TTAACTGTGGTCAAAGTCCAGAAGAATTAATATTTCATTGGTTCTTCCAGTTTTGACATCTGTTTTTGTTAGACACACTGCTACCACTAGTTCCTGAATGGGAGCCTTTATCTATCTCTGATTAGATGTAAGGAGAAACTTCTTCCCCCTGAGTGTGGTCAAAGACTGGAAGAGGTTGCCTAGAGAGATTGTGGAGTCTCCATCTTTGGAAACATTCAAAACCTGCTGTGCCTGACCATGCATTGAACAGGATGCTGGACTAGAGACCTCCAGAGTCCCTTCCAAGCTCAGCAATTCCATGATTTCTACTTTGTTCTGGAGGCTTGGTGAATTCATCCCTGTTTTTCCTGACAACATGCTGTAGCTTACATGCAAAATCTGTGCAATCTGAGAATTAGGGGACAGACTTACTGCCAAAGTCCAGTCAGGAGTCCAAAATCCTTTTCTTCTGACAGGTCTAAGCTGAGCGCAACCAAGACACCCAACCGGAAGGGCTTCTAACAAAACACAAGGATAGTGACTTTTCTTCTAAAACAAGAAAATTTGCTTTTTATAGTAACAACATTTCTAGCATGCCCATTGTGAAGGGGTGAGTTCAGTTTCTTCCTCAGCCTGTACAAGGTCAAACACCCATCTTCTCAGTTCCCCAAATTGCATTCTGAGCAGCAGGCTGTGAGGCATTTTGGAGCAGAGGCACTTCTTTCTTTGTTAAAATACTCCACAGGTTTAATCCAAACACCCTTTCACATAAAATTAATGCGAGTGTTTGGCCCAGGGACTATAACTGACCTCCCTCATTCCAGATAAGTGCCTGGATCACGAGGCTGCAACCACCCTTTCTTGTACATGAAGTCCTTCTCTTCTAACCAGCCCTCCCCAGGCAATCTGTGAGCATTTCATGAAAAGGCTGTGGGTTACAAAAAGAGGAGGAGAGCATGCCAGTTTATTTATCAGCTGTAAGTCTTCTCCTTCCCAAGCCCTACACTTGTTATTGATTAGGTAAGCAGTAACGTTTCCCACTTCCACAGCTATTTCATCATGGAAAGAAAGAATAAGGCTGCTCAATTCTTTGAAAAAAAAAAAAAAAAGTCTGAATTTGTTCTTCAGAAGATGGTTTTAGGCTGTGAATGGGGAGTGACAGATGGGCCTTTCTGCTGCCTGTAATCAGCTACAATAAACCCAAGAAAGGTGAAGCATTTGAGAATTTTCTTCATGCTTTGCATATTGGTTGCTAACTAAATGGACCTTTTGGTTCCTTTTGGATGCTACTCTACAGGAGCTAACTCTCATAAATGCCTTGTCTGGGATATTTGGGGCCCTACCTAAGGTTCTGGAGTTCACTCTCAGGATCAGCTGCATAAAATGTAGGAAGTATTAGGTACCACGTGCTTTAATGAAATTGGCCCTAAGTGACTAATGTAAGCTACTACACTGCATCAGAAGCAGAACAATTAAAAGATCCCAAATTTCCTGAACCTGGTTGTGCTCCTCACAGCAACAGTACATGAAACAAAGAGACTCATAATTTTTTGTAATAGTTATAACCAAATCAGTAGCCAGTGACAAAATTGAAAAGGTCCAGACTTTGTCAGCTCGCTGTTCTTACAAAAAGGAAAATCATATGGCATTATGCTGTCTAACTCCTCTGTGGATAGAAACTGCGTATACAAGGATTCATATTAACATCTAGAACAGGACGAAGGCCTTTTTAGACATTATAAATATCAGCACTCTCATCAGTATATGCAAGTAGATAATTAGGGTAATTATTCCCAATTAGCAGCTGCAAGCCCTGCAGATGGGAATTTCAGGGGCTGGTAACTATTGTAAGAAAGCATTTCTGCAAGCTGCAAAACCCTTTTCATGCTTTAGAAAATATACATTTAATGACCTTCACACATGCTTTAAAATATTTTTGTTAATATTTCAGAATAAAAATCTTTTCTGCACAAGTATACTACTTCTGCTTTTCTTTAGATCTGTGTTAGTGTCTGAGATGGCCTGGATTTGGAAAGACTTTTTCAAGTATTTAACCTATCAGCTAAAGTAATTGATGAACCAGGCCAACCTGGGACTCCAATTTTGCTTCTGTTCTCTGTTCATGAGGAAAAAAAATGTCAAGGAAAAACAATGTCAAGGGACCTTTCGTTGGCTTTTGAAGACAGCAAAATGACTCTAGCCATTTTCCTAGGCTCTGCATGAAACCTTCTGACAGAACACGTTATCAAACTTGCTTGACAGGCTCCAGAAGCATTTTTCCGTGTGTTCATTGTATTCTGCTCCTTTGAGTGGCTCAAGGGTAAAAAAATACATGTTTTGATTGTGGATAGTGTTTTTTCCATCATAATGGCTTCTGTGATAGTCAATGAGTAACTCAGATTAGAAAGGGATTCTTGGTGTATTTGTGTATGCTGTGGGTACATCACAAGCACAAATGGAGCACTGCTTCTTCAGTTTTTAACTTTCGTGTGAATTCATTTAACTTCTGAATTCAGAAAGTGAAATAAATGTAATCAACAAAAACAGTAACACACATAACTGTAAGATTTATCCTCATGAAGCTCCTTGTGACAGTGAAGAAACTTAATTTAGATACTTTTTAATATAACAAATCTGTCATTCCTATGTTTTAAAGTAAGATTCTAACTTCAATCAACAAATAAGCTTGTGTTTACTCATTTAAATCCAGTCCTTATCTAGTTATTTGAACATGGAATTTCAGACAAAAGAAAGTTGAGAAACTAATCATTTTTTGCATTTGAGTAAGTAAAAGGTTATTGATCTATTTCTTTTTAAACTTTGTATTTAATTGTCTTTGAGCTAAAATTAAGGAAAGAAATTTAAAGCCAAAATGATTATTCTATGAAAAAGTTATGAGTCTTTTGAACAAAGAGTATTAAGACTGAAGATAATAATTCAGCTTTAGTACAGAAAACTGAACAGTATAACTTGCAGTGGGACCATGTAGATGCCAATAAATGCTTTTTCAGCATTTGGGTTTTGGTTTTAGCTAAGCTGACATACAGGTAATAAAGAAGATTTAAAAGTGAGAGTATGTTCATGTGATATCAATTAATTTTTCTTAATACAGCTTTCTAATTTAGATTTTTACAGGTAATAGTATTGCCAGCTGTAGATTAAAAAAAAAAATCTTGAGAAAATATATTTATTTTGTATCTTTTAGGAGTCTGGCTATTGCAATTATCACTACATGTAAATACCTTTTAAGTCTCCTAGAATATAAAAAATCCTTCCTCCAACACTAATCTCACACATACTAGGTCTTAGGAAAGAAGTTAGGATGATGTGTCACATTTACAAGCTTCAAGTTTGGGAAGATTTTTCATGTTTCCTTTCCAGTCACCATCCAAAGCTGAATAATATGAAAAATTTATTTCTTTGCATGATCTAACCCATATTTCATTTAGATTCACGCTGTTCCCTATTACTTCATATAAGAATATCACTCTTTTTTTTTCTCTGATATTTTTCTCTAACATTTTTCTGATCTGTGCGATCTGTTTCATCTCTTCTTATCTGACTTCACCTTCAGTCTCTTTTTTCTCTCCTCAGCTTGTTTCTTTGTTTAATATCTATGTCTTTACTTGTTCACTCCCTTTTAAAACTTCATTTCCCCTTTAATCCTTTTTTGTGACTCAGAGCACCAGGACTCTTCACCTAGTGTGTGGCTAATTCGTGTATCTTGAAATGGCAGTAAAGATGACAGGCAGGTTGTGTTAGTTATTTACATCCAATCTCCAAAACTGCCAAAACCCATGGGAACATTTGCTTCAGCTCCTCAGTGAACTCTGTAGAAGGTCTCAAATATGTTTGACTTGAAAGTCTTTATTAGACGTCTTGCTTTGCAGAAGCTCCTTAATATCTCTTTAATTGGAAGTTCAGATTTATAGTATATTGGTAAATAAATCCATTGTACTGTTTAATATGTATGAAGTAATTATGTTGATAAAGGATTTGATGCTGCCAAGTGCATCAGCGCTGGTCCGCTGAGGTACTCTGTCACATCCTTCTTCTTAACCATGACTCATTTTAATGGATTTCAGAGTTTCTTATATCCTTTAAGTTAAGTAAATGCTTAAGTGTGTTTCTGGATTAGGACCAGAGGACTTGGCATCTTGGAAGATAAAACAAAAATCAAAGAATCAGCAATACTGTCAGAGACAGGCTTGCTAAGTTTATCCATAAGTCTTAAAACAAGTCTGATTTCACTTTGGATTGGAAAACCTGCTTCTGCTCAATTCTCTGCCAATTTGTGGTGCAGAGACATATCCATCCACCAGCTGTGGATTATCTGACTGCCAATCTTACTACTTGAAAAACCATCCCAACTGCATGAAAGCAGCCTCAACAAAATGTATTAATTATTAACTGGCTACGTTCCTGATATATTACAGCTTCTATGAACTATTTAGCATTTTCCAAATAAGAAAAAAGACAAATTGACACTTTTTTTTTTCACATAAATTTGCCCTAAATCAGAATCCCATCTATTTGTGCCAAAATGACAGCTTAGTTTAACTTAAACACTTCATTAACCTTCCTGAAAAGCAGTCAAAGCCCCATATAAGGAGAACTGGTAAAAGACTCTGAAGTGCTCAACTTTCAATGAGTTTTAGGTCTGAGACAGCTCATCAGCTTACTGTTTATCGGTTAAAAATCTGTGTGCAAACTTTTAAGAGGTTAAGCTAAGCTACTTTCTGCAATTTAGAGCATGTCGACAAATAGATACTACAGCTCAGCTCACAAACCATGACTTGATTGTTCCTTAGGTTCCAACATTTGTAAACTGAACCAATCTTCAAGTTGGAATTACATTGCCAAATCCTTTGGAGACCTTAGAAATTTGTTTCTAAGTGATCTGTTTCTGAAGGATAAAAGATTCATGACTTTTCTTTGGAAAATTAAAAATTGAAGGAAGCACTTAAATGTATGAAAAGAATAATGCACATTTTGCATGTGTGTTTTGTGGTCTCCCTTAGGTACCTCAGGATGAATGGGGAGGATACCCAGCCGGTGGGAAAGATGAAGAGATCCCCTGCAGAAGGATGAGAAGTGGGAGCTATATTAAGGCCATGGGAGATGAAGAAAGTGGAGACTCTGATACTAGCCCCAAGACATCACCAAAATTAACAGTTCGACCAGAGTCATTATTAAAATCCATTGGACAAAGACCACTAGGAGATCATCAAAAGTAAGTTTCACTATCGCATGTTACACGCCTTTCTGAAAGTTGCCATAGTTTGGGTAGTTTTTCCTTGGGTCTTACTGGTGGTGGTCAGTATCCATGAGAAAATATGATACTGTAGTTTAAAAAGCTAACTTTTATGTCTTCATTTTAAATTAGCTGCAGTTTCTTGTGAGCACTGGATGAAAAACTGACATCTTCCTCCATCCATGTAGCAAACCTACTACTTCAAAAAGAGTTTGTTATGTTTTCCAGAGGAAGTATATCAATTTTTTTATCAAAATTTTAAAACTCTATTTCTTTGCTAGAAGGATTGGTTTATATTAATTTTATTTATATTTCATTGCTTTCTCTGAGATAGAAAATACACTATTCTATACTAGGCATAATAACAAATATATAATTGTATCATGTATTTGGCATCTTACACCTTTTTTATTGGTACAATGCTTTATGTATCAGCTATACTGTATCATACTTATTTAAACACATTGTGGAGGGTTTTGTTTGGGGTTTTTTTCATTCATACTACCTACAATATGGCCTATTAAATAACTAAAGCAAATTTTAAAACTATAGGAAAAAAGTCGGTTATCTATGTTTTCCAATGGATCTTTATTTTTCTCTCCTTTGTATCCTTTCAGTATATCATTTTATAACTAAACTGTAAATGTACTTCTGAAGACAGTTTCAAAGTGGTAGCCTGATTTCAAATCTGCATCTTCTATTAGTGTGGCTGGGTGTTTCTTATGACTTAGAAAATTAATCTTTTTGCCTGGGAGAAATAAATAAAATGAAGAAAACAAGAGTGAAACCTTTGATCAAAGGTTGTGTATTGTTCTGTAGGTAATACCATGTATAGTATACCATAGTGACTCACTTTTCATAAAATAAAGTAAAACAAAACAAAAACCTCAGGCAAAAATAATTTTGGCTTAATTAAATTGAATTATTTAGTTTCCAATCTGGAAAAAAAACATCAACTTTCATTATTACTGAAAAGAACAGTTTACAACTATATTGTTTTCTATCTTCCAATCTGGAAGAAAACCATCAACTTTCATTACTACTGAAGAGAACAGTTTACAACTATATTGTTTTCTATAGCTTTCTGTTGTGGATGAGTGCTTAGATAAAAGTGCAATTTAACAGAGTTCAATGGCAAGGTTCACTCTATTATTTACTACATGGAGGAAACATAGAGAGGGAAAATCAGATTAGAATCATTTTGGAATGATTGACACAGGGACTGGAGATGCAAAAGGTAAGGGAGACCCTCCCATTGAGTCACAAGGTTCAGAGTGGACCCCATTGCTTTCCAAACTCCTTCTCAGAGAAGAGACTAGGTGCGGCTGCATCCAATCCTCGTCCCAGATTTGGTCAACGGTTATGGTTAAGAGATACAGAGGATAAGGGAGGCAGTCTTGTTGAGTCACGGGTTCAGAATGCACTCCCTTGCCTTCTGAACTCCTCAGAGAGGAGCCTAGCTGCAGGTGGATCCACTCCTAGTCCCAGACTTGGTCAGTGGTTTATGTCTAAGGGATTATATATGTGTATAGCTAAAGGATTATACATGCACACTCAATTCTCTGTATCGCTTAGCTAAGATTTTAAATTTCAGCATGCTTACCAATTCACTTACTTTCTGTCTGGGCATCCCGTGTTAGTTCAATTCAAAGTTCGAAACCTAGGTTTTCCAAAGCAGTCTCCCAGGCACTGGATTTTGTAAAAATAAATAATTAAATAGAGGGGTGCAGCAGCAGGATCAGCTTGAGCTGGGTAACTCCAGAGAGGGACAATGAACAAAGAAAACCCTGAGCAATTATACCCCTACAGACTATTCACCTGCCTCTCACGTGATGACTTGGTCCAATAGTAATATTTGGGTCTGGAGTCTTCTTTTTCCTCATTGGATTCCTTCGCTGTCTTCAGAAGGGTTGTTTTCTTGTCTAATTCTTGTCTGTTGATGGTTGTAGCCTTGAAGCCTCTGTATCTTCTAGCCCATGTTTTTCCAGTAGAGCATAAGAAACTGAAAAAGTCCCATACTCACAATAAGCACTACCTAGCCACAACCACATCAGTGTGTTAGCCACATTATTCTCACACTAAAAATCCAAAACACAGCACACTGTACCAGCTACTAGGAGGAAAAGCTTACCTAGGTGGAAATTTACAGCTTGCAGCCTAAGGCTTCAGCAAATCTAGCTACTCATGGTAAGTAAGTAAAACTAAGCAAACGGCATACTAAATCATGCAATATTATAACTCTAAGTGATTTATTCTATTTCAAAGTTACGTATTTAAGCTAAACAGCTAGTATTTCCCACCCAGGGAGAATTCAAATTGGGCTCATCCAGCAATCTGTCATTGGTAAAAGATCTTGTTGCCTCGAGGAGCCCCCTGGGAGGCATCCCAGCTCAAGGGGAGATCATCGCCATGCAGCCACGCTGCCTGGCAGGGAGAGCTCAAAGCAGGCTCACTTAGGCTCTTGTGTTCATGGGATGAAGTGGTTGGCTCATAGTCAAGTAGCATACAGTGAGAGAGGTATGCACAAAGCTCCTTATACCCACAATTTACAGGTGTCTGTGTTGTGATGCTCCTTGTGGGTTTCCTGGAGGAGTTCTTGACCTGGCTACAGCTCAGGCCTCTACCTCCTTCAGAGCCTGTACCAAGCTGCTGTTGGTTTGGTAAAGGGAGGGGGTCAAGTGAGTCTGTCGCACTTGCTCACACATCCGTGTAGGCTCAATTCAGATGCACAAAGGTGTCCATACAGGGAGCTGCTGTAAGATTTCTGAGATACCATGAGCAAGGCTGGCATGTGTCCACTCTCGATTGGCAACTAAGATGCAGGCAGGATATATTATGGCAACTCAAATCGTGCCAGAGACCTATGTTTAGGCAACTGAGCCAAATTTTTAATGGGAATCTGAAGGATTTGCTAGAATATTAGTTCCAGTGGTGAAAACATGGCCTATAACATAAATATTGCTGGCAGACCTGACCTGACTGGTTTCCAAAGATGGAAAGATGAGCTCTTAATGACAGTGGTTGGAAGCAACATGTGAATATTTTATATCCTCAGTCATTGTATCTGGGCTGAATTCTGGGTTTGAAGCATGCTGGCTACATAGACTGGTTCAGTCCAAATTTGAGAAAGTCCCCAGGAAACAAAAAAGGTGGTTAATCTTTAGCTTGCAAATACGTGTCAGTGGGTGTAGAAGTCTTTCAGGATGAGGCACCCATAATTTCTCAGCCATGGTGGAGACATATGTTGTGAATTCTTCAGTCCTAGATTTTCTCATAAATGGCTCTAAAAGCTGTGGGTCCTGCAAAAGGGGAGTTATCCTTGTGGGATAAGATGTGCTAAGGGAGAGTGATCTAACGTCTCTGGCTGGTCAAGAGTGACCCTTCTGAAGGCAACAGGGAAAGAGGAGACAGTCGACTTTCTCAGACTTCCACACATTGACCAGCTGTCTTCCTGCTGGTGAATTAAACATTTCTAGAATACAGACCTGAGTACAGAAACCTGACCACGTACACTGAGAAGGTTTTGGAGTGGTCCCCAGCAGACTTGTTGCCTGGGTCCATTAGCCCTGTCCCACCACTGCCTGGACATGCTCTGGGCGTTGGCGTAGGCCAGGGATTGTTCCCAGAAAGCAGCTTGAGTGCAGCCATCCTGTTTGGAGGGTATGTCATATCCATACTAGTACCACAATCTAAAATCTTTTCTCAGAGGCAATTCTAACGTTCCAAGTACTTAGACCAAATAAAATATGTGCTATTCTGTTCTTTGGTTTTGGCTATGGTCGGGCCTTCCCCAAGTGAATGCAGATAACAGCACAAATTTTCCAGTGAGTGGCTGGTCTCAGTGCCTACCCTAGGTCCCCACAGCCTGTGAACAGATACAGACAGCATCTAGACATATGTATTCAAACAAAGAATGTGTTTCAAGAAAAAAAGTCTTTCTGATGTGTTAAATCCTGAAGGCAGGTGGTTACTAGTAGGTCAGTACCAAATGGTGTGTTTTCCATCAGTTTTCCATGTAGTGCAACCACACCGCTCAAAATATAATGGATTAAAACATGGACACAACGCTGATGCAGTGTTCTGTGGTTCACAGCTGTGCTTGTTCATGGTCCCAACGGATTTAATGGCATAGTTACCACTAACTGCAGTCAGAAAAGGAGGAAGCTTCTTGTAATGCTGTGAAATATTATTAGGGGCTCTGTTGAGAATTTGTCGCAAACACTGCACTAGGAATAATTGAGCAGCCAGGCTGCAGCTGACAGATAGCTTTTAAATCTTCTTTTTTCCCTTAAACTGAGAGGGAGCAGCTTGAATCGGGCAACCCAACATTTGCCTTTTTTCCAGTGAACTTCAAGCAGAAATGCGAAAACTGTTCTGGTTCTTATATGTCTTTCTTGGAAAAATATGCAAATTTCAGGAGCCCTTAAGCAGACAGAAAGTTTCTTGTCTCACAGGAATACAAAGTGCTGATCCTAAACCTGATTTTTCACCACAACCATCTCCTCCCAATACATCTCTGTCTCCCTGTCACTGTGGTTACCTTTTACGTCTGGCAGATTTCTATGAGGGATATAGCAAGGGATGATGGTTACAGAGCCTTCCTTCCTGCTCCAGCGCGGCTCAGGAATCCTCATTGCGTGCCGGGTGCCCTTTGTAGGACTGACCACGCTGCTAAGACAGAAGCCAAAGTTTTGAACAGAAACATGTATAGCAGAGCTGAATGCAATTGCTGTAATGTATTATGAGAAATTACATAATTCAAGATGTCAGTTGCATTAGCTGGCTTTTTAGCTTGTTTACCAGGATGGAGGAAGCTAATGTACCGAAATAAAATGGGTTTTATACTCTCTTAGTCCTCTGTTTGGGTGAACTAGATAGCTCAGACCTGTGGTCTGACAGAGCACCAGTAAACCTGTTATAAAATCTGAATAGTGATAGTTTTGGCAGCAGAAAAACATGCATTGGCTGCAAAATGTATG